TTCTGATGTGCTGTTCAAGCTACTACCAGAGAAAATTGGGGGAAGGGCTTTTACAGAATGGGTAAGCTCATAATATCTTATGCTCTTTTTAGCAAGCTAGGCTTCTTCCGACCCAAGTTTGTAAGTATGCTCTCAGCTGTAGAGTAGGTGTATTCTAAGAAATGCATGTCCTGTTTTTGTGGACTCCGTTCTGTACCACGCTATCTGACCCTCCTCCCTAATCAACAACCAGATCTTGGCTTTAGTATACTTTCTGTGGTTACATCTACACTGCAGCATCCCAGCTTGGGTAGACAGACGCACACTAGCTCTATTCAAGCTAGCATGCTAAAAATAACAACATAGCTCAGGGTAGTACCATTAGGGGCTCAGGCTAGACTTCTGCACATGTACCCATAGAGACCAGTTAGGTTTGTATTCACTCTAGGCTACACTGCTACTTTTAAGCATGCTAATTTCAGCAGAGCTAGTGTATCTGTCTACTCGAGCTGAGAAGTACCCTTGCAGAAGCAGCCCAAATGATGTCTCTACTATTCTATTGCCACTGGCTTAGTGGATGAGATCCCGGGCAATTCATCCTCATGGGGATGAGTGGCTTCACATACAAAGTTCTCCTTATCTTCTATGGCTTTTCTGGAAACTGCTTTTAGGTAAGCTAAAAGCAGCCCAAGTCTGGAGTGCCCAAGTAGAGTTCCTGTAAGTATATTCCACAAAACATGTACATGTTTCCAGGCTAGGATTTACAAGGGTCTTCAAATAGGGTTGCCAGGTGGCCGATATTGACCCAGACAGTCTGGTATTTTTGCCTCCTGTCCGGTAAAAAAATTCAGAAAATACCAGACACCTAAAATGTCTGGGTTTTTTTTTTTTCCCAGCCAGGAGGCGAAAATCCTGCAGAGGAGCTGTCTGGCGCAGAGCAGAGAGACAAGATGGCAGATGGCCACCGACAGCCTGTTAGGGCCAAAAAGCCTCAAAAGCATTTCTTAAAGGGGTAAAGCTGTTTTTTTGCTCAACAACTTTGGTCTCCCCCCCCCTTTTTTCCTCAACAGAATTTTTTCCCTGGTGTTTTTTTGTGGGGGAGGGAGGAGTGTTTGGTATTTTTGGTTAAACCATCTGGCAACCCTATCTTCAAAATATGAACCAGGGAGGTTTATTTGCAAAATCCAATCTTAAAAAATCATTCAGTCTTTGAGTAAAACAGAGAGAGAGAGAGAGAGAGATAAATACAGGAAGAAATTGGGCTGATAGTGTACATTATTTTAAAAACATTAATTGTTGAATTCATTGTCATCTTAAGTTAAACAACAAATGGAGACCAATATAGTACTTCTCCTACACATCTTTAAAGCAGCTTTACACTAAATATAGAGCCCTAATCCTTTGCTAGAAAAGCCGAAACAAACATTAAAAGGCTGTAGAAATCTTTCCTGATTCCACCTCCTCTTATCTCAGCAGCTCATTACAATTATAAACTATAAAACTGGGAGCACTCGTTTAACAACTGAAAATGTCTAAAATATTTTAAATCACTGGGGTAGTCACCTAAAACTGAAAACATACTGGCTCATCACTTATATGCCTGTTACTTCAAAAAACATTATTCCCAAGAACACAATCAAGTAAAGAATTCACCAGGTGCTGTCCCTGAATTTTTTCACCAGATGGCAGCAGGAAGACAATATAGTTAACTGGGAAATGAGAATTGAATACTGAACTAATAAGAGGTCTAGCTGCTGGATTTTATTTTGTTCAATGTGTCTTGAGTGATTTCAAGACAAATCAAATGCAAAAGGCAGTACATTTTCATATAACCCTTGCTCACAACTGTGATTTCTTGCAATAGATGACAAAGTAGATGAACACAATCTTCTAGAAAAAAAATCTTTGAGGTCTTGAGAATAGCTTGAGAATGAATCTCCAGATTAATTTTTTTTTTCATTCCCAAGAAAGCAGGGAAGGCCTGAGAGAGAGACAACTGTAGTGGACAAATCCCCAATCTCAGCTTACCAGTAGTCTGAAACCACCAACATCATTTATTAAATCAAAGAGGAATGTCTCGGGCTCTATTCTTCTGTTTTCATTGCTGTTGATTACTTCATCTCCTACCTATTTCCACTTCGCTGATAATGTGGTCTTGTTTCTCACTCTATCATGTTGATCATTCCTTTAATATCTCCTACAGTAGTTTCCCATCTTCCTTCCTCAGGTGTTGGACTATATCATGGTTTATTATTTCTCTCTCCTTTTTCTGGATGACCCAATCTACTCGTGCTATTTTCACCGTCCCCTTTGCATGGATGATTTCCTATTCTACCTCCCTACTCCAAACTTCTCCCCTCAGTCCATTCTCACATCTCCAAATGCACCTTATACATCTCATCTTGGATACTGACCCATCATCTCAAGTCTTTCAAAAAACTTACCTTTCTTTCTTACTCCTCTTCCTTCTACATCTCCAGGAAAAACTACACTGTGTCTCATGTCGCCCAAGTTCACAACTGGGGTCACCTTTGGCTTTTCGCCCCTAAAGCCAAACTTTTTCCATATTTTCTCTCATTACATCCTATCATTTCTTCCTCTCAAATATAACCAAAAAAATCACCCTTTCCTCACTCTAAATCACATTAAAATCATTTTCCATGCATTTCTCACAATTCACAGTGGTAGTCTTCTCCACACTGACTTCCCTGCTTCTTACCTCATTCCCTTATAATACGTCAAAAATGCCCTGGCTAGAGTCCTCTTCTTCTCCCATCGCTCTACTTAGAACATAGACCACTCCCACTTACCTAGCTTCCTGAACTTTCTGTAGTCAGAAAACCTACTCATTCCACATAATCTTACCTCAATTACTTTACTGATCTAATTCCTTCTAAAACATCTGACACTCCCAATCCCAACCCCCCTTAGCTTCACATGAAATATCAGGATACATCCTATGAATGGAACATTATTCTTCTTTTTTGTCCATCTAGCATCTTTTTCTCTTTTTCAGACCCTTCCACTAAAACCTTCTTCCTTCAGGAATGCTTCCTATCTTCGTTATCTCACCAGCAAATCTCTACATCCAACATACACACATGCCTGAATTATTGTCTTTCCTTGATTTGCATCTTCTTAGATTGTATAAACTCCTCAGGACACCTAATATTCCTTTATTTACCGTGTGCTTGTAAAACACTGTCTGCTAGGGTGCCATATAAGTCAAGTCAAATAAATGCAGACCCAAATATTTTGGTGGGCTCAATGAACTAAGGCAAAATATCTCCCTCAGTTCACACAGCTGCCGTGGAGGTTTGCCTTTACGAGGGATGTGTATAAATACTACAAAGTAAAGCGCATTCTCAAATTATATCTTCATTTTTTTACTTTATGATTCCATGGAATACGGTGCAAATTTCGACCAAGCAGAACCACAAATAGACACCTCCCATCAAATGCAATTCCTATTTTTAAACTCTAAAATCATGTGGAATCTTTGTTAAAATAATAGGCTATATGCATGGTGCATCATAGTTCCCTTCAATTAAATATTATTTTGACCTTTTCCTGGTATTCTGAGTCCCACCAAAACTAGCTCTTTTTATGCTGAGTTTCCACTTTAAGTCTATTTATGTCATGTTGGTTACAGTATTTGTCAGAACCATGAAGAAAAGCAGTAAGCTTGCGAACACATGGATACCACATGAGGTGGCATGGTCTTGAAAACAAGCAGCTTTTCAAAATGAACATACAAATAACCTTTCTTCTTCCCCCCACTAGTCCTTTTCTTTAAATAAAAGATAATAAGAACAGACCAAAGACAGTGAACATAACATTCTGTAAAAGCACATGATCAGAGGAGATAAGGCAATTTAAAAAAAATAAAATTTATGGAGAAAGTCAAATTGAAAAATAATATATGAAATGAGTCTTCAGATAACAGCCTGGAATATTTTGTTCAGTTTCTTCCAATGTGAATGGAGGGAAGTAGGCAAATTCTAGCAGACAAATTCTGGTTTAAGAAGATTATTTTTACGTTTCTTAAAAAAAAAATGAAGCTATTATTTAGTTAAAAATAAAGTCTTGAATGTGTGTGTAAAAAAATCACTGAGATCAAGCCTGAGAATGATTACAGATGAGGAAAGAAAGTATGATTTTATGTGACATTTGAAGAGAAGGTAAGAATTTTTTTTGTGCTTATATGCTGACCTATTAAAATATTTCTGAACATTCTGTGTGAGTTAAAGAATTATTCAAGTCCTGTTTTGGTGAAGTTAACTGCTACTGGTATTCAAAGTTCTCCTGGAATTACATACTAATAAAATTAGCCCTGTTAAAATCCTGACCTCCTGGGGTACTATGGTACATCTTTAGATCTTATTATTTCTATTCACAACTTAATTACAACACTGGAAACTTTTTTGTAACTTTTTTGCTATATTTGCTAATTTTACAATATTTATATTAAAAACCCCTCCTGTCAAAGTTTGCTTCACCGGTTACCAAAAACTCGTTATTAGGTACATAAATATAATAATTATGGTTATTAATTTACTAAAGTTAATAAGCATAGGGTTAAGATTTAATAACCTAGTATCTTTAAAACCTAGTTTATAAACCCTTTACATTTTTATTACATGATATATTTGATTACAAAAATACAGCCTTATCTCCCAATAATCTTGTGCTCTCATTGTTGCTCTTTATATTTTGATCCACACAGATCATGGTAAAGAAAATAAGTACCAGTAATTGACATGGCATTTTGTACCAACTTTACAGGAACACATTGACAAACAAAAGGATGATGGTAACCTGTTTGTGATGTTCAAGTCTTTGCATGCCGGATTTCAAAGTAAACGGAGACAAAATAGTTGGGTTAAAAAAAAAAAAGAGAGAAATATAATCAAAGGTCTATGGGAAGCTTTTCTACAGAAGTGTTTTAAACTTCTGCAGAATTCAAGCTTTCAATTAAAAACACTAGGTTTCTAGCTATTGTGTTTACAAAGATAACTTACAGACAGTAAATCAATCCAATTCCTCTGTTGCTCACAGCTTTTCAAACTGCAGTTTAGTAGAAATCGAACAGTTATGTCATTTCCCACTGCTACTATCATACCCTGTGGACAGCAGGGAAATTGGTAAGAATCAGGTCAGTTTTTCTTGTTTCTGTCTCCAAGGAGTAACAAGCATTAGAATCGGACACTTGGAACTATTCTCAAGGAGACTACCACATAAAAATGGATATTAGGAAAGGTGTACAAGATACTTTATTCTCTTCATCAGCTTGTTGGCTGCTGCAAAGTGTAACAGTCACACATCTGCCTACCTTCACATCAGTCACGAGGCTCTAGGATGGAAAGGTAAAAACAAGCAAAGGATAAAATACAGGTATTAATAAAGGAAGCAACAGTAAAATACTACACTTTGTAACAGGGATGTAGTGTGATGAAATCCCACCCCCCATGCTTTATTAAATTAATTTATGAACACAAATATACAACTCAAAGATGCTTGGGACAAATTGCCTCATGTAATCTAACAATTTTCATGTCACAACTTGCTGGCTCTGTATAACTTATTTTGGTGTATGTATCATTCTAGTGTGTAAAGTTAAAGATATGGTGTGAATGATGTGGAATGCTTTATGGTTTTAACTGTGCAAATGAAAGCCATCAAGGATGTTACCATCAATGTCTAGATGACCAACTGCAAACAATATCCTTGGTCCTCTAAATCTTAGCAGTGATTGGTCTGAGAAAGTCACATGTCCAGCCTAACTGGTAGGAGCTGACTAAGCAAAGGAAAAATGGAATGTAGAAATGGAATTCCACCTGAAATGGAATCTTTAAAACAGGAAATTAGCGAGTCTGTCTGGCACACAAAAGGGAATGAACGGAAGGCCCCAGGGAGAGGGAGTCTCTGGTTTGAAGGCATAGCTGGAAAAGGAACAGTTTTAGGATGAGTTTGTGATAAGTTTGTATGAAACTTTTAGTGTTAAAATTAGTTATGCGTTTTCTGTTATTTTAAATTTGTAATCTACTTTGCTCTTCCTGTTCTCACATGTAACCACTTAAATCCTACTGCTTATACTTAAAAATCACTTTTATTTTCTATCAAGCCCTGTGTAAATAATTGTAACCTGGAGGAGCAATCAGTGTGTACATTCCCCCTTTCATTGTTAAAGGGGGCTTACCTATATAATTAATTTAGGGTCCTGATCCCATTTGAGGAGTGGCATTCCAGGAAGCTGGGCCCAAAATGTATGTTCCTTGGACCTGAAGAATTTCAGTGTCTGTACTGCTTCTTTTTTTGGGGGGGGGAGGAGTGATCTCAGCTCTGTACTTTGGTTGTGGGGCGACCAGCAAGGCAGGCCTAGCAGGATAGGGTACTGAGAAGTCCCAGAGAGCAGGAAAGTGACCAACAGTGGCCTTGTCAGCCCAAGAAGCACCCCCAAAGGTTCGTCTATGACCACATCCTGTCACAGCGTCTAGTTGGTAAACTGTTTAACCGATAAGCGACTACTTGTCGGTTAACAGTCCCCAGTTAACTTCAACACATGCCCCAACCCCCACATGCTCTGCATTGAAAACTAAGACCAGAAGGTTGGCTCAGTACCAGCCTGCCAGTTCAAGTTTTAAATGAAGAGCACACAGGGGAGCCCCACCTGCGTCATGCACGGCTATCTCTGTATCAGAGGCAGAAGTGTGGTGCGGCAAGCAGGATCTGGTCCATCCAGGGAGCCAAATTTTAAACCAGGTCCCCTCGCAGCAGGGGTCCCCTGCATGGAGTAGCAGAGGGCTCCCTAGGAGTGGAGCCAGAATAACACTGACTTCTGGCCTGCTCACAGGGGGAGCAGGAGGGGCGTATTTTAGTATCTGTGTAACCACTAAGAATTGTTGCCATTATACCATTACTAAAATAAATGATTTCTAACATCCCTACTTTGTAAGAACTTTAGGAATTTTACTTTACTACTATGAACAGCAACTCTATCCTAGCTTCTATACTTAAATAACCACAAAGCCCTTGTGAATTTCATTGGCAAGTAAAGGTATGAAGAGTCTGCCTAAAAACATTATTCAAAGAAAAAATAGCGATAGAAAATTACATTGTATATGACAAGTATTATATCATTGATCCAAATCAACATGCATATAGTATTTGCATGTGAGACTTAAATTTTCTGGAGGGGTTATTAATTTCATTTTGGAGGGCAGTTCTTTTAGCATTTTTTAAGTTTTATGTAAATGTCCAAAAACACCAGTTTCTTCAGGGCTCTCTCTGTCTGGATGTACTTTACTAAATAATCTTGTTGTAATGTTCCCCAGGGTACTTAGTTGTGCTTGAAATAGTACAATGTTCAAGTGTGCTAGGCTTTTGGGCTAAATAATGTGCAACGTGTGTGTGCTTAAAGAAGAAGAAAAAAAAAAGAGCATGCCCTCTCTACATTAGTGAGCCATGCAGACAAGCCCTTTTCTGGAGTTTATCCAATAAACACAAGAAAAACACTTTAAAAAAAATCTGGGGTCTTATCAGCATTTGTCTACTAAAATTGAAAATCGGAAGCCCTGCTTGCAATTAATGTAGGACAATTTAGAAACAGCCAGTATAAGGAACTTATCAATCATATAGACCTTTAGTTCTTCAGAAAAGTCTATGAATCATGTATAGAGTTACATAAATTTGCCACAGAACATTTATGCATGAAAATTCATAACTATGAAAGGTGTCCTTTGGGGAAAAAAGTGGTAATGATGCAGCATTAGAACAATAACCAATCCTCTTTACAATTCACAGCTTCTATACAATGCAAGAACAATTTTTTGTATATTTAACCCTTAATCCCAATTATTCTTTGATTTCCAACAGCCTCTCTGACCTGTTTTTTTGAAATGTAGTTCATTATTTTGTAATGGCATGTTATTTATTAAAACACTAATTCAGCAGATAATTTAAGAACATACTATATTTCTCTCAAGGCCAATTATATTTAAACATATACCTACAGTTAAGTATATGTGCAAATGCTTTACAGGAAAGTGTGGACTACTGAATCAATGACAAATTAATTTTGAGGATTATGCTAATGTTAAAATGTCTTTAGGCTTGTAACCATCAAGTATGAACATACACTGTAGCACTTTTATGCCAGGATCTCCAATGGTTTGGAATATTATTTAAACCTCACGACACCTCTGTATAGCCCTCATTTTACAAAGTGATAAGAATGGATCATGGAAAAGTGCAGATACAAGTGGAATGGATGAAACTAAAACAAACTTTAGTCCTGACCCGTCATCTGATCAAACTAGACACAAGTGTCTTACTGCTAGTTAGGATGTAGATTTGTTGCTACTGAGTTCCAACCAGCTGGCCAAAAACCCACACAAACAATGAGTATTCAAAACAAAAACAAATGTAAATAAACATAGCATTCTCGAGCCATGGTTCTTAGCAGCATGCATTCAACATTACCACGTATAATGGAAAAAAAAACAATTTTAATTAATATTTTTACAGCTTCAACCTAAGCTTAGGATTTGAACCTAAACTCCCTCCTATCATATACTATAGGATTTACAAAGCTAGCACTTTCTTATAGGCTTTCAAATCACAGCTATTTACAGTTAACACTTGCCAAAAATGTAAAGAAAGTAACTAGACATCTGCAGTGTATGAGTACAGCTATTTATTTACATTTTCCATTAGCAAAAGATATTCCCTTCTGTTTCATTGGTGACTGTATTGGCAAAAACTAAAATTGTTAATTACCCAGGACAAAACTTTTAGTTATTAATATAACTGCATATGGCTTTTCAACAAAGATTTGAAAATGTAAACATTAAGCTATCACAATCCATTGTCTCACTCTGCTGCCTGCATAATCATATGCTATGTGCAGTGTAGTAAGTCTAAAATGAAGGAGAAGATATTAGCAAGGCACAAAGAAAAAGAAAGAAAATCCATTCCCAGTCACATCAGTAATAATCTTGTTGTCTTTCTTAACATGATCTTGACTAATTTTTACATAAATGTTAGCAAATACAAAACATTAACAGCTTTTTTAACCTTTGTTCTCCAATCAAAACATCAGAAAAGTACCACTTTCTAACAAATGTTTTTTACAAATCTGAAAACATTCAACTTTTATTTTTAAACGCCTTACGACAGCTTACAAGAGGAGACCAAACTCATGATGTTAACAGTGATTTTTTTGTGTGTGTGTTTCAGACTTTCAGAAACTGTTTTAGATATATGGAAAATTATTCTGAATGGAATTATATAACTTATGTCATTTTATGGCACTGAATTTCTTGCAGCCAAGTATAGATATGTTGTGATGTCCCTAAATCAGGAGTGGGGAACATAAAACAGCAAGTCAGTGATTCTCCTCTTTGTCCACAATCCAGCTCTGCAAGAAACCTAGCCATGTGTAGTTCTAGTACAATATTTGCAAAAATTCTACTTAATAGACTTATGAATTGGTACATATATATGAATCCACAAATATTAATCTTAAGTTTAGCACCACCTTAGTAAAACTCTAATGTGTTTCCAAACTGAATTCCATTTTACCCCAATCATACTGACAGATTTAATGAGATTGGCTTCTTTGAGTAAAAAAAATATATTTAACCAACAACAGTTTAATCCATTACCTTGAATTAACAATACTGCACACTAATACTTAGTAAGACACAAGAATAAAGGATGATTTTAGGCAGATTTATGAACCCACTAAGATCCTGTCATTTCTTTATTGTACTATTTAATTATTTTGTTTTTCAATTTTAGAAGGCCAAGGGATACCAGACGTGATATTGAGAAATACTATAAATATACCTGCTCCTTCTCTATAGATCGGAGGGTAGATAAAACAGAGCTCTGAAAACCTTTTAAAAATACTATTGGTGTTAATAAGATATCCATAAGAATTCCTGAATATTAGAATTCTGTAAGTCTTAAGCCAACAGCCACTTCTTTAAAAGTGCATACGAGCCAAAAAAGTTTGACTCTAGAATATAGTTTGATATGTTCATTTAGCAAAGGAGGTCATCCGTTATTAGTATGTGGGGCGGGGCGATCCAGCCCCAGGAAACAACCTGGCTTAGGGGGC